CTGGGGGCTGCTGTGCCCACCCTGGGCACTGCTGTCCCCACCCCGGGGCTGCTGTGCCCACCCTGGGGGCTGCTGTGCTCACCCTGGGGACTGCTGTGTCCATTCTGGGGACTGCTCTGCCCACCTTGGGGGCTGCTGTCCCTGTCCTGGGGACTGCTGTGCCCACCCTGGGGACTGCTGTACCCACCCTGGGGGCTGCTCTGCCCGGTGCCCCCATCCTGCTCAAAGAGCCACAGAGCAGTGGGACCCAGAGATGTCCCAGAGGGGCTGCCAGAGGTGTCCCCAGGGGTGCTCTGGTGGTCCCCCGGGTGTCCCCAAAGGCTGTGGGGACCTCCGGATGCTCTGCAGGGACGTTGTTGCTGCAGCCACAGCCCTGCCCGTACCCAGGGGGTCTCACTGGTGGGGGTCTCCCCTCCCGGCGGGTCCCGGGGGGGCCGTGGGTGCCCTGTCCCACCCCAGGACTCAGGAGGGCGGGGGGGCAGTGCCGGGAAAACACTGTTTACAAAATAAAGGAGCGAAGGGTCGTTCTGGAGCCGTGTCCCTGCCCTGCCGTGCCCGGGGATGTCCCTCCGTGCCGGCGGTGGGAGCACAGGGATGGACCCCCCTCCCCCGGCACCCCCAGGGATGAGGAGCCCCTCGGCCGCTCCCCTGCGGCCCTTTGGGGTGGGGCTGGGGGGTCCCCGTGTGTGCCCGCGGGTGGGTGCGGTGGGCACAGGGGAGTGTGGGGGGTTGTACGAGGGTTTGTGAGGGTGGGCGGTGGGCACACGCTGCCCTTGCCGTGCCCGGGGCGGGCGATTTCCCCGACAAAACTCCCCGTGCCCCGCGCGTTCCCCGGGGGTCCCGGCAGCACCGGGGGGGGGGGGGGTCCCGGGGCGAGGGGGGGGGGAAGCCGGGCGGGCCGGTGACCTTGGCGAGCCGCCGGCCCTGCGCAGCGCCGGGAGAGCCGGGGCAGGGCCGGGCCGAGCTCCCGGTGCCGCCCCCTCTCCCTGCGCGGAGCCGCACCGGCGGCACCGGCGGCACCGTCGCGCTGCTGCGGGCGGGCCCCTCCCGCCGCCGGCACCGGGGACACGGTGAGTGCGGGGCTGCGGCGGCTCCGCTCGCTTGCGGGGCGGGCGCGGGGGCGCCGGGACGGGACCCCCCCTCCGGTGCCGGTGCCGGTATCGGGCGGGACGCGGCGGGGTTGCTCTCCCGGTTTCCCGCCCCCCCCCCTCCCCGGGCACCGGAGTCCCGCAGCCCCGGGGCCGCCGCCGCAGTGTCCCGCACTGCAACACCGCGCCGGGCCCGCGGCCGCGGGCGGGCACAGCCGGGGCCGCCGCATCCCCCCCCCGCCCCGCCCGGGCACCGCGACCCCCCGAAGGGGCTGCGCACCCTCCCCCTGCCCCCCGCCCTCGGCACCGGGACCCCCGGGAGGGGCTGCGCTGCTCTCAGTGCCCTCGGACGGGGCATCGGAGCCCCCCGAGGGTCCGCCCCGTTCTTTCTGCCCCCGGAGGGGACACCGGAATCCTCGAGGGGGACTTTCCCGCTCCCCCTGCCCCGGCCGGGCACCGGGACCCCCGGAGGGGCTGCCCCTCTCCACAACCCCGCGGACCGACCGGGGCTGCCCCGCTCTCCCTTACCCTGCACTTGGCACCGGGACCACCGGGAGGGGCTGCCCCGCTCCCTCTGCCCCCTGCTCAGGCAGCGGGACCACCGGGAGGGGCTGCCCCTCTCCCCCTGCCCCCGGACGTGGCACCGGAACCACCGGGAGGGGCTGCCCCGCTCCCCCTGTCCCCCGCTCAGGCACCGGGACCACTGGGGGTAGGGGGGGACACGCGTTCCTGTCCCTATACCCCCAGACAGAGCAGCGAGACCCCCGGGGGGGTCTGTTCCGCTTCCCGTGCTCCCGGAGCGGGCACCAGGACCCCCGGGGGATGCCCCGCTCCCCCTTCCCCCGGACTTGGCACCGGGACCATCGGGAGGGGCCGCCCCTCTCCGGCTGCCCCGATCAGGCACCGGCGCTCCCGGGGGGCTGCCCCGCTCCCCCCTCCCCACATCCGGCTCCCGGCGCCCCTTCCCCGCCCTCCCCTGCGCTTCTGGGGGGGGCTCATTCCTGCGGTGAGGGGGGGACGCGGAGCCAGGTTGGGATCTGGGGCACCCCCAGAACGCGGGGCTCGGGATCGCAGCCCCCGGGGATCAGGAAGCCGTTCCCTGGGAAGGGGGGGGGCAGCCGGGGGTCTCGGGGGGCTCCGGCCGCCGCCGCTCCAGCCCCATCAGTTCGGTTTCCAGATGTGCCGGCGCTGCCATAAATAACTCAGGAGAAGCGGCCCGGCGCGCCTGCCATGAAATATTCATCGCGGCTGTAACCGAGCGGGGCGAGCCGAGTTCAGCGCCGGGGGCACGGGGGTCCCTGGGGCCAGGGGGGGGTGGCGCGGGGAGGCAACGAGCGACCCAGCGCTGCCGGTGCCCCCCCTCCGCTCGGGGCGGGTCAGGGGGTGGCAGTGGGCGATGGCACCCGGGGGGGACGAGTTGGGGACCGGCGTCGCTGCTGGGGGGCTGCCGAGGCCGGGGGTCGGGCAGAGCGGGGTCTCCTCCCGGGGGGGGGCTGGAGGGGGTGCTGAGGGGTCTGCTGTCCCCCCCCCAGATGCGTCCCCAAAGCCCCTGGGCCGCCGGCCCGGCAGCTCTGCTGCTCCTGGCGGGAATCCTCGGCTCCGAGGCGCTGCAGAGCCCCCGGGGGAGGAAGAAGGTGGTTCATGTCATGGGTGAGTGGGGAGGGGCGTCCCAGGGTGGGGTGGGGTGGATGGGAAGCGATGCAGTGGGATGGGGTGGGATGGGATGGGATGGGATGGGGCGGGATGGGATGGGATGGGATGGGATGGGGTGGGTTAGGATTAGGGTTAGAGTGGTGACAGGGACAGGGCCAGTCCTGATCTGGGTGTCCCTTGTCCTGAGCGGGGTGTCCCTTGTCCTGAGCGGGGTGTCCCTTGCAGAGTGTGACAGGACAGCCCTGAACTGAGTGTCCCTTGTCCTGAGCTGGGTGTCTCTTGTCCTGAGCTGAGTGTCCCTTGCAGAGGGTGACAGGGCCAGTCCCGAGCTGGGTGTCCCTTGTCCTGAGCTGAGTGTCCCTTGTCCTGAATGGTCCCTTGTCCTGAGCTGAGTGTCCCTTGTCCTGATCTGGGTGTCCCTTGCCTTGAGCTGGGTGTCCCTTGCAGAGGGTGACAGGGCCAGTCCCGATCTGGGTGTCCCTTGTCCTGACCTGGGTGTCCTTTGCAAAGGGTGACAGGACAGCCCTGAGCTGAGTGTCCCTTGTCCTGATCTGGGTGTTCCTTGTCCTGATCTGTCTGTCCCTTGCAGAGGGTGACAGCGGCGCCGTGGTGGTGCAGACGGCTCCGGGCAAGGTGGTGACGCACCGGGGCGGGACCATCATCCTGCCCTGCCGCTACCACTACGACGTGTCCGCCCACGACCCGGCCGAGATCCGCCTCAAGTGGACCAAAGTGACGGAGCCCATGGCCTTCGTGGACGTGTTCGTGGCGCTGGGCGAGGCCCGGCGGGCGTTCGGGCCCTACCGGGGGCGCACGGCCCTGCAGGAGGACGGGGCGGGCGACGCCTCCCTCATCATCCGCAACGTGACCCTGCAGGACTACGGGCGCTACGAGTGCGAGGTCACCAACGAGCTCGAGGACGACACCGGCGTGGTCAAGCTGGACCTCGAAGGTACCGGTGCGGGGGGGACGCTCCTGGGGGTTTGGGCAAGGGCTGGATGACACTGGGTGTAAAACCCGATGCCCAAAATGCCCCAAAAGGACCCTCCGAGGCTCTTTTTTTGAGCTTCAGAAAGCAAAAGTGCTCGTTTATTTATTTATTTATTTATTTATTTATTTATTTATTTATTTACTTCTGCCCGTTCCCAAAGTGCCCCACACTGAGGTGCAGAGGTGCTCATGGTGGTTTTATTACCTCCTTCCCATCCCACACCTCCCAAATCGGAGTCAGCGGTCCCAAAGACCCCTTATCTTCACCTTCCTCGTCTTGATCCTTGGTCCCTGGCACGGTGGAAAACCTTCTGGAACAGTTTCAGGGCTTCTGAGCAGCTTCGACTCAGTTATATCAAGCCATGTGCCTCTTAGGTCTTATTCTAAGAGCATTTTTATACAGATAAAATGTTCTTTACCGGGCTACGACCTCTGCCCATCATAATTCTTGATGAGAAAGTTAAACAGCTTTTTCAGAAATCTTGTATGTAGGTGCTGACAGGACAGAGCACTAAAAGCTGTACTAAACCTATAAAATGTGGGTTTTAAGGCACCAGCAAGATGATACACAGCCCTCCCCCCCAAAAAAAATGCCAGGCAGGTGAAGTTCAGGAAAGTTTGTTCCAAAAGTCGGGAACACCGGACTTAGAGAGGAAAAGCTGCCACACCTCCTGTTCCCTGAGAAACACACCCCTCCTGTTCCCTTTATCTTCCCTGCCCTCCCCTCCCAGGCCCTCTCCGAAGCCCTGTAGCCTGTGGGAGTTTCTCTCTCCTCGTACCTGTAACTTCCCTCTGGAATGCAAGAGGAGAAATCATCCAGGATTATCCACGTTATCCCCGAGCAAAGCGCTTCTCCCGGAGCGGGGGCAGCATTCCCGAGCGGGAGGAGCCCCATCCCCTGGCCACGAATCCCCCAGAAGGGACATCCCCTCTCCTCCCTCCTCCACGTGGGATGGTTGGGATGCGGTTCCCGGCACCGCCTGTCCCGTTCTCCCTCAGACCTGGATGCTTTTCCCGGCGCGTGCCGATGGTTTATTGCCACCGTTATTGGTTTTTCCTGTTGCTCCAGGTTTATGGGATGGCAGCTCGTAAACCCCGCGGGCAGACGGCGGCACGGGGCTCGTAAAGTACCCGTAAAGCACCCGGCTGGGGGGGATGGAGGGCTGGGAGCGGCTCCGAGCCCGCCGGGACGTAGGGAAAGGGGGAAAAAACTTCTTTTTGGGGCTTGGCTGGACACCACTGGTGTCCCCATTCTCCCGGAGCCTGGGGGTGGAACGGGGATCCCTAAAGCCACAGCGAGGAGGGTCTGGGGGCTCTCAACCCCCCCCATCCCGAGCACAGGCAGGGGCAGCTCATGGTGGCCGGGCTTTGCAGCCGTTTGTGGACAAATCTTGGGGGCAAGAAAAAAAAAGGTAAAAAGCAGCAATGTTTGAGAAACGTTGGATCGCGACACGGGCTAAAAATCGAGCCTGAAAACAGACTTTTTCAGAAGGTGACATTAAGGACTTTCACTGAAAGCAAACCCAACCGCAGCCATCCCAACCCAGGGCTGTGCCCACCCCGTTTGTTGCGGGTTCAGGCAGGGGAGAACCTCCCACCCCTAATTCCTCCTCCCACCCCTCCTCTCCCACCCTCCAGGCGTCATCTTCCCGTACCACCCGCGCCTGGGCCGCTACACCCTCAACTTCCACGAGGCTCAGCAGGCGTGCCTGGAGCAGGACGGGATCCTGGCGTCCCACGACCAGCTGCACCAGGCCTGGCTGGAGGGCATGGACTGGTGCAACGCGGGCTGGCTGGAGGACGGCTCGGTGCAATATCCCATCTCCCGGCCGCGGGAGGAGTGCGGCCGCAAGGACACGCCCGTGGGCGTGCGGAACTACGGCTACCGGCACAAGGAGAGCGAGCACTACGACGCCTTCTGCTTCACCTCCAACCTCAACGGTACCCGGGGAGGGGACCCCCGAGCCCTGGGAGGGCTGAGGGAGGGCTGGGGGGGCGGTTCCCATGGCGACCCGGGAGGATGCTCCGCCCTGGGAGGGAGGATGCGGCCGCGGCGCGTCCCTTCCCTGGATTCCTCGTCCCTTCCCTGGATTCCTCGTCCCTTCCCTGGATTCCTCGTCCCTTCCCTGGATTCCTCGGCACGGCAGGAGGGGGGGGTTCAGTGGTGGCCGCCCCCCCCCCAGCAGGGACCAGCCTCCATCCTTGTTGGTTTTGGGGCTGGAATATCCAGTTTTAGCGAAACCCTCTCTCTTTTTTAGCAAAAAACTCTCTTTTTTAGCAAATCTCTCTCTTTTTTAGCGAAGACCACTCTTTTTTAGCAAAAACCTCTATTTTTTAGCAAATCTCTCTCTTTTTTTAGCGAAGACCACTCTTTTTTAGCAAAAACCTCTATTTTTTTTAGCAAAACCCTCTTTTAGCAAAGACCTCTCTTCTTTAGCAAAGACCACTCTTTTTTAGCAAAAACCTCTCCTTTTTAGTAAAACCTCTCTTGTTTTTAGTAAAACCTCTCTTGTTTTTAGCAAATACCTCTCTTATTTTTAGCAAATACCTCTCTTATTTTTTAGCAAAAACCTCTCTTCTTTTAGCAAATACCTCTTTTTTAGCAAACCCCTCTCATTTAGCAAGACCCTCTCTTTTTCAGCGAAGACCTCTCTTTTTTAGTGAAGAGCTCTCTTCTTTACCAAAGATCACTCTTTTTTAGCAAAAACCTCTCCTTTTTAGCAAAACCTCTCTGGTTTTTAGCAAAAACCTCCTCTTTTTTTTTTTTTTTTTTTTTTGGAAAAACCCCTCTGTTTTTTTTAGCTCTGCCAGGCAGGAGCAGGGGACGGGAGGTAATTGCAGCAGCAACGGGCCCCGGGTGATGGATGAGGCCGGGACCACGCAAGACAGATGGGAGCCAGGAGGGCTCCCGGGCTCTGTAAATTCCTCCTGCCTGGCAGGGGGGGGCTGGAGGGAGCCCTGCTGATGTTTATTTAATGGTGGCAGGTGGGATAAATAGCGGGTGACACCGGCACGAGGAGCTGGCACTGCCCACACAGCCCCTAAATCTGTGGATCCCCAGAGCCCACCCAGCCCCTCACCTCCTCCTGCCCCCCCAAATGTGTTGAGGGGGGGTCCTCAGGGCTTGTATCACGTCTCCTTCAACCCTCTAAAAAAATGCATTGGGGGGAGTCCACAGAATTCACCACTCTTCCTCCAGCCCCCCAAAATGTGTTGGTGGGAACACTCCAGGGCTGGCATCACTCGCCTCCTCCAGCCTCCCAGATGTGCTGGGGGGGTCCACCAGATGGGTACCACCCCCCCTCTACCTCCAGCCCCCCCCCAAAAATGCACTGGGGGGGTCCACAGGGTTTGTGCCACTCACCACCTCCAGTACCCCCAAAAATGCACTGAGGGGGCTCCACAGGGTTTGTGCCACTCAGCACCTCCAGCCCCCCAAAAATGCACTGAGAGGGCTCCAAAAATACATTGAAGGGGCTCAAAAAATGCACTGAGGGGGTTCCACAGGGTTTGTACCACTCACCACCTCCAGCACCCTCAAAAATGCACCCAGGGGGCTCCAAAAATGCATTAAGGGGGCTCAAAAAAATGCATTGAAGGGGCTCCAAAAGCACACTGAGGGGTCTCCAAAAATGCACTGAGGGGGCTCCACAGGGTTTGTGCCCCTCACCACCTCCAGCACCCTCAAAAATGCACTGAGGGGGCTCCAAAAATGCACTGAGAAGGCTCCAAAAAATGCATTGAAGGGCTCCAAAAACACACTGAGGAGGCTCCAAAAAACGCATTGAAGGGGCTCCAAAAATGCACTGAGGGGGCTCCGTCACCCACGTCCAGCACCTTCAAAAATGCACCCAGGGGGCTCCAAAAATGCACCGAGGGGCCTCCACATGGCTTGTACCCCTCGCCCCACCCCACCAGCGCCGCGGCGGGCACGCGATGCTCCAACCCTGACCTCCCCCCCTCCCCAACCCCTCCCCACTCTGTGCCCCCTTCCCCAGGCAAGGTTTACTTCCTGAAGACGTTCCGCAAGCTGAGCTACCCGGAGGCGGTGCAGGCCTGCAAGAACAACGGCGCGGCCGTGGCCAAGGTGGGGCAGCTGTACGCGGCCTGGAAGATCCAGCTGCTGGACCGCTGCGAGGCGGGCTGGCTGGAGGACGGCAGCATCCGCTACCCCATCGTCAACCCCCGCGCCCGCTGCGGCGGCCGCGAGCCCGGCGTGCGCAACCTGGGCTTCCCCGACAAGAAGTACAAGCTCTTCGGGGTCTACTGCTTCAAAAAGGCCGGGGACGCACCCCCGGAGAAGGCGGCGGCGGCGGGCGGAGGGGGGGGACACCCCAACCGCGTGTGAGGGAAGTATCTCCCCCAGGTTTGGCCGGGGAAAGCCTCCCCCCCCAAAAAATTGCGCCCTCGGTTTGTTGCTGGGCTCCACGGGGGTCCCGGCGGAGCTGCGGGCAGCCCCCGCCTCGGGGCCGGAGAGGCGGAGCCCGGTGGGACCCTCGGGGGGAAAAACTTGAGGCAGAGGGAGGGGAAGGATTTTGGGAGCGCTGCCGGGAGCCCGGGCCCGGGGCTGGCTCCCCGCTCGTCGCAGCTCTTGCTTCTCGACCTGCCTGTTGCATGTGCTAAAGGCCCATCAGAGCCTCCATCCTCACCCCCTGCGCTGTCCCCACCCTGCGCGACCCCACCCGGGGTCACACGGCGCTGATTATCCCCCCCCCCACCCAACCCACGGGAGGTGCCGCGGGCCACCGGTGTCACGGCACCGTCAGGTCTCTGCAGGGGACTGACCTGCCACGGGCTCTCCAAAAACGCCTCTTTGGCGCTGGGCAAGGACTGGGGGCACTGGGGGGCACTGGGCAGCCGGGGGGGGGGCACTGGGCAGCCTGAGAGGGGGCACCCACAGCCCTTCCAGCCCCCGCCGGGGCCGGGGCAGCTCCTTCGCTTGGCTTCGTGCGGATGAAGTGGGAGGGGCTGGGTGGGCACCCCCCGAGGCTTTTGGCAGCCCTGGGCCCCCCCCGAGGCTTCTGGCAGCCCTGCCCCCCCCCGAGGTTTTGGCAGCCCTGGACGTAGTAGATGAAATAAAAGCTTCGGCCGCTTCCGAGAGCTGAGCCGGGCTCTGGTGTGTCCTTCACCGGTGCCACCCCCGAGGGACGTCTTGGGCACGGGGGGGACCCTGGCACTGCTCGACCTCTCCTTCCCTCCCTGTTCCCAGCACGTTCGGAGCATCCCAACAGCATCCTGCTTGGATTTGTTGGGACCAGATCCAAGGGAGCAGCACCAGCAGAGCCACATCAGGGCATCCCCGTGGCTGGGCAGCACCCAGGAGCCACCGTGGGGGGTGGCAGGACACGGATGGGGACCCCGAGGTTTCCTCCCCACCCCGGCCCAGCTGAGCACGGCCCATCCATCACCTTCACCGGCTGATGGAAACAAAGAGCTGCTGGGATGTGACACCCCTGGCAGGGCACGGCGGGTGTTGGGGGCCACCGGGGTGGGTGACAGAGGGTGGGGTGCAGGGAGCACCCCAATAAATCCATCAGCGTCTCCCCAGCTCGAGGGGGACCCGTGGCCACGCTGGGGACACACGTGGCAGCCACCACCGGGGTGATTCGTGGGGAGCACCAGGAGCCCCCCGGGAGAGGGGTTGGGTTTGTGTGGTGGAAGGAGGCGGCAAAAAGGACACAGGGGGGACCTTCCCGGGGGTCCCCACAGCCCCCGGCAGAGCACCAGGCTCAGGGGACTCGCTCAACTGTTAAAAAAATTTATTAAAATGTCCAGCAGTACAGAAAGGCAGAGTCAGAAATGGGAAGGGGAGGGTTGGGGAAGGGGGTCAGGACACGGCAGTCACGTCGCAAACAGCAGAGATCAGAAAGCGCCGTACACACACACACACGCAACTCCAACGGGGACCCGGGACAGCGGGAACGGGGCAGGAGGAACCCACCGGCCCCAAAGCGGGCACGGGGCGGGACCACGGCCCTGCTGGCACCTGGTGGCACCTGGTGGCATCTGGTGGCACCTGGTGGCATCTGGTGGCACTTGGTGGCACCGTGTCCCCACCCCGCGGGCAGGACCGGGGTGCCGGGGCGGGAAAAGGGGCTGCTAAAAAAACCAGAGCCACCCGACTGGACGGCCGGGGTGGGACACGGGGGGGGCTGCCTGGGTAACCCCCACTTTGGGGACGGGGCCAGAGCCCAGCCGGGGGTGGGGAGGGGGTCCCTGTGCGGGGCTGGGGGCTCGACCCCGGGCCGGGGGGGGGCTGAGCGTGGGGCATGCAGGGAGGGCTGGGGACGCACACGCAGCCGCCCCCTCCGGATCCTATTCCCTACGGGGCCGGGCATCCTAAGGAGCTAAAGCCAAAAGGGGGTTATAAAAGAGAGGAGGGGGGGCGAGGGAAGGAGAAGGGGGTGGGAGAAGGGGGCGGGAAACGTCACCACACCCCGCGGGGGACCCTTGTGCTCGGCGGCCCCCCCGGCTCTCTAGAAGTAGTGCCCCTCCTCCATCCAGTCCAGCCGGAGGTGCTTGCGGTGTTTTCGCCGCTCCTTGCGGGGTTTGTGGTGGTGGTGCTGGTGGTGGGGGTGGCTGTGCCGGTGCCGCCGGTGCCGCCGCGCTCGGTGCGACCGCCTGGCTAACGGGGGGGAAAGGAGGGGCACCCGAAGGAAGGGGGAGTCAGGAACGGGCAGCCACCCACCCCGGGACCGCCCCCTGCCCGCCCCCTGCCCGCCCCGGCCCCACTAACGTTTTGTGCAGAGGATTTTGGGCCGGTCCCACTTGCCGGTGCTGTGGCACTTGATGGTGGGCACGTGGCGCTGGGTGAAGCCCTCCTGGCACTGGTAGCGCACGCTGGAGTGGATGTTGTACTTCTCCTTCCTCTTGCCCACCGGGAAGGCGTTGGCCACCTCCGGGGGGGGCCCGCACAGCACTGGGGGGGGACACACACACACAGAGCCCTGTCACCACCCCCTTGTTGCTGGGAGGGGACAAGGGGACACTGCCACTGTCACTGGTTCTCTCCAGGAGCCCCCTGTTGCTGGGAGGGGACAAGGGGACACTGCCACTGTCACTGGTTCTCTCCAGGAGCCCCCCATTCCCAGGAGGGGACAAGGGGACACCCTGCCCGCAGCGGGGATGGCTTTAGGAGAGGCTCCTCCATCAGGGTGGCACCGAGGTGTCCCCAGGATTTAATTTGTTAATTAACGGCCCCGTTGGGCCGTCATTAACACACCGGGTGGGGAGGAGCACCCAGGGAGCAGCTGGAGGTTAATAAAACTTCCGAGATAAGGGATAGGAACTTAATGGGTTTAATGGCGGCAAATTAAACGAGTTCAAGCGGCGAGGGAGGAATCGATCGGGACAAAGAGAGGAAACACGGAGGTTTAGGGGGAACTGCTGGAGTTTGTCCAGGTGAAGGGCTGGGAGAGGTTTGCTGAGGATGAGGAGGTTCCCAGAGAGAGACCGTGGGATGGGAACAGGGATGTTGGGAACTGTGGGGTGGGGGTGCTGCAGGATGGGAACGCTGGGGGCTGCAGGATGGGGATGGGGAGCCTTGTGGGATGGGGACACCGGGGACTGTGGGATGGGGACACCGGGGACTGTGGGACGGGGACACCAGGGACTGTGGGATGGGGATGGGGAGCCCTGTGGGACGGGGACACCAGGGACTGTGGGATGAGGACACCAAGGTCTGTGGGACGGGGACACCAGGGACTGTGGGATGGGGACACCAGGGACTGTGGGATGGGGA